AAATTATGACACGGGGACTTTCCAACTAAAATAGAATTAAATAAAAATAAAACAGAAAAATGTGATGCATTAAAAAAATTATTAAAATAAAATATGCTGTTTAAATAATTGTATTTTCAAACACTTATGGCAGCCACTATTCTTATTTTATTATTTTGTTTTTATAAACCTTATGTCAGGCACTGTGGGGTTTTTTTTCCTACTTATTTTTAATACTTTTCTTTATTTTACTTATTTTGTGTGAGAAAAATTCTTATGTCAGACACTGTTCCATAATATTGTATTGTTATAAATATTTTACTTATTTTTTATGATTTGTCAGGCACAGTGTGTCATGTTTATGTGCCTTTTTTATGCGACGGTTAAAGCTTATTGAAGCATTTAAAGGTTGTCAGTAAACTGGTTTCAGTGGAGTTTTTTCGTGACCCTGATCTGCCGGTGTCTGTTTTCTGGCCATTACTGTCATTATTATGTTTTTCACAGCACTTTTCTAAGCCCCTCTCTTTTGCTTCTCAAAGCCAAACACTGTTTTCATTAATTTATATTTAATCGCCAGCTCGTTCATTTCCTACAATATTCAGCTTATTGTATTTTAAAAAATTGATTGAATATTTTGTTTTTTTTCAATTTAATTACTTTATTTAATTTTTGTTGTGTGTGTGTGTGTGTGTGTGTGTGTGTGTGTGTGTGTGTGTGTGTGTGTGTGTGTGTGTGTGTGTGTGTGTGTGTGATTCACCAAATTAACATTGTTAAGCCTTTAAATAACACTTTAAGCTTAATAATAACATCCTGCAAAACAACTTTTTTTTTTTTTTGCAAGTCTTGGCTGTTTTATTTGATTTATGTTTATTTCTAAATTATGTACTGTGTTTCATATATTATATTTTCTCTTCCTATACATACAGTTGATATTAGCAAAACTATTAGCCCTCCTTTTTTCTTGTTCAAATATTTCCCAAATGATGTTTAACAGAGCAAGGACATTTTCACAGTATTTCCTATAATATTTTTTCTTCTGTAGAAAGTCTTATTTGTTTTATTTCAGCCATTTTAAGGTCAATATTATTAGCCCCTTTAAGCTATATTTGTTTTTGATTGTCTACAGAACAAACCACTGTTATACAATTACCCTAACTCGCCTAGTTATACTAGTTAAGCCTTTAAATTTCACTTTAAGCTGTATAGAAGTGTCTTGAAAAATATATAGTCAAATATTATTTACTGTCATCATGGCAAAGAGAAAATAAATCAGTTATTAGAAATAAGTTATTAAATCTATAATGTTTAGGAATGTGTTGAAAAAATCTGCTGTCCGTTAAACAGAAATTGGGGGGAAAATATACGGGGGGTCTAATAATTCTGAATTAAACTATATATATATATATATATATATATATATATATATATATATATATATATATATATATAGTAGATGTTTTAGTCTCCGCTTTATTTCTTCACTGATGTCCTTGAGTTTAGATGAGTTTGAAGCACATGCTGTTCTGCTTTGGCCTCTAAATAAGCGTCTTTGTTTTTTAAGATGCCATTTGCTCAAGGCTAAAAGTGATGTTTTGGCCATTTTAGATGGATCGTCCTTAATATATTCACACCCAAAAGCAAAACTAAGCTGGTAAATTTTGCATTGTCCTTCTACATGGTAGAATTAGTCTTGCTTTGGACCCTGAAGTCTTTGTTTTCCAGCAGAGTCCTTGAGTTTTGACTGTGTGTTGGTCATTGAACTGTAATGTGCCAATCTGCTTTACAGCCGCTGAGGAATGTCAACAATCACGTGAAACTATTTATTTGGACTTTGTGCTTCTGTGAACTCTTTTGAGCGCACAGAAATATTTCATCCTTGCAGATCTGACTACAAAAACCATTTTAGATTGTGTGGAAAAATCAAGAATTTATCAATTCACAAGTGATAGTTCACCTAAAAACTAAATGCACTCACCATTTACTCTTCCTTAAGTGGTTCCCAAACTTTGAGTTTCTTTCTTTTGTTAAACTCAAAAGCAGGTATTTTGAAGGAAGCTGAAAACTTGTACCCATCGATTAATTCAGTGGTTACAGGTTTATACATCAGTTTGACGGCATAATTGTGAGTCTCAAAAACCCTTTTGTATGAGGAACTACTTTCTTCCGCGTTGGATTCAAATCATAAGCTGACAGTTAAACAGTTGAGCAAGCATCTTTTGAAGATTCTAATGACACTTTAGATCTGTAGTGTTTGCTTGTTGCTGGCTGTGTGTGGGTGGAGTAATACACGAAGGGTAAAGAGGCTGTACGGGTGCTGATATTACTTAAATGTATCATGGCTATCAACTGATTTATTTTTTATTTTTGCCATGATGACAGTAAATAATATTTGACTAGATATTTTTAAGACACTTCTATACAGCTTAAAGTGATATATAAAGGCTTAACTAGGCAGGTTAGGGTAATTAGGCAGGTTATTGTATAACCATGGTTTGTTCTGTAGATTATCGAAAATAAAACTAGCCTTAAGGGACTAATAATTTTGACCTTAAAATGTTTTTAAAAAAATTAAAACCTGCCTTTATTCTGGCAGAAATAAAACAAATAAGACTTTTTTTCAGAAGAAAAAAATATATATTATCAGACATACTGTGAAAATTTCATTGCTCTGTTAAACATCATTTGAGAAATATTTAAAAAAGAAAAAAATCAAAAGGGGCTCATAATACTGACTTCAACTGTGTGTGTGTGTGTGTGTGTGTGTGTGTGTGTGTGTGTGTGTATATATACACACACATTTGCAATATTTTTACAGAAAATGTTAAATGTATTTTCTAAATACACAAACACAAATAAACATACAAAATCTGTCACTAGGGCAGTATATTTTCACAACCTACACTTTTGTGCCATACAGGTGGACATCGGTAGCTTTAGAGACCGATCACATCGAATGTGCTTTTCCATTTTTCCATTCTGAAGTTTTTCCATTCTTTTCTGTTGACAAGAAATAAAGAAGTGCAGTGCACTGCGTATTTTATGTTGCAAGGCAACCACTGAATCGGCTGTGTATTGTGCGCGAGCGCTGCTGTTGATATTATTGTAATCAGTGTTGCTGGTAATACATTACAAGTAACGCGAAGTACACAATATTACTTTTCTAAGTAACAAGTAAGGTAACGCATTACTTTAAAAAAATAAGTATTAATATTTGAGTCCGTTTTTTTTGTAAAGTTTTATTAGCTAATATTGGATACTAGATACATTTGCTGTTTTGTTTTGTTGGATTTGTTTTTTCTACTTTTCTAATGCTTGTGCAAAGAATTAAAATTCAAATGTTGTACCTAATCGAGTAGTAGGCGTTTTCGAATGCAGCCACCTCAACATAGAGCACTTTTTTTTGCTCAGAGTTGACTTGTTTCAACTGCAGGCGCACAAAGTGCAAGGAAAAAAAAAAACAAGGCGCAGTAGGTGGTTAAAATGCAAAGCGCGCAGGGTGCATAAGCAGCATAGAAAAAAACTTGCGGCCATTAGAAAACCATTCCAAAAAAGGTGCCTATCATCGCAAAAAGTGCTTTTGGAGTTATCAAGGCCTTAGGGTAAATTTCTGTACCTTTTTAAGTTACTAATATTACTTATCTTCTTTTAAACATTATCTGTTTTTTTATCCCATCTCTGTCATTCTGTTGCACTGTAGAAGAAAAAAAAACAAATTCCTTGTGTGTGCGAACACACCTGACAATAAATCTCTTTCTGATTCTATGAGGTACACGTTTGTACTTATTAGGTATTTATATTTTGTCCCTTTAACGACCTGTTAGGAATAAAAATGTACCTTTTGAAATGGTCCCACCCATTTTTATTTATTTATTTATTTCACCAGATTTGATGGCTGACACACTCCAAAAAAGGCTCATTTAACCCTTAAAGACTGATTTATACTTCTGGGTCAAACATCGGCGTCACTGACGTGCACCTCTCAAAAAATGTAACTACACGTCGCAACGACGCGTAGCGCAAGCTCTGTGATTGGGCGGCTTGGTAGCGCTGACGAGACTGGGCGGGAACGAGAGCCGCGTGAATGGTGTGAGCCCAATGTAGCGATTGTTTACAAGTGTGGAGTCCAGTGAAGGAGCTCCGGATCTAAAGTTTTGTTTTGTGTTTACCTTTGTTGCACGTCCGCCAGTTTCTGCCTCAAAATGAGTGAGTTTGAGTCGCTTGTACATCCAGGAAGTGTTCAGGAAAAGCAAAACAGCAGCGAAGAAACTCGACACAGAGAAACATTTACACCTCACTGCCAACTAGCGTTTCAAAAGTGTTAATGCAGACCAACAGAGACAGCGCGCAGAAGTATAAACGCACAGCTACACGTGTTGCATGCGCCGTGGGTTACGCCGGTCACTTGACGCAGAAGTATAAACCAGGCTTTAGTCTTTTCGCAATACCATATATATGGTAGTTCTTTGCGAATTTTTACATTTTTTTTTATTTTTTTAGTAGATCACTCATTATGCGCAAAATGAGACATGATCTAGTTGTTCTTAAAAAGATTCTCAATTTAAACCTAGTCCTGAAACACTCTCATATAATCAGCTTTCCTCCTTATTGTGGACTGTTTCACTGTTAATAGTTGGACGTTTTTGTAAGCTTTTCACTTTTAAACTTAAGCGTGTTACATCAAATATAATGAAAAGGTCTAGCTAAAGCTTTTAGCTATGCATTAACTATGACTTTTAGCTCAGTGGACTCTTTATTAGCTGCTAATTAATTGTTAGTAAGGTTGTAGTTACATTTGTTTATTTATTTATTCTAGTTATATTATTTTGTATTTTACAAAATGATCCAACTGGTTTTGGAATTTTGATTCTAAAGTTGCCCCAGTGTGACTACAAAGCCCAGTCCCATTCCATAATCTCATATCTTCCATCTTAGTCTTTTATCTTTGTCCTTTGATGACAGCAGTTCTGCAGGAAATGAAGAACGCCTGAAACCAAACATCCTGTTCTGTTTGTTTCCAACAGATGGTTCAAACTGTTGGGCAAGACAGGGAAGGCTGACAAAGACCGAGGAGAAGTCCTTCTAGACATCCAATTCATGAAGAACAACATGACGGCCAGCATGTACGATCTCTCCAGCCAGGATAAATCCCGCTCGCGCCTCGGCAAGCTCAAAGATAAACTGAAGGGGAAGAAGAAAGACGGGATGTCAGACTCCGCTTCCGCCATCGTGCCCTCAGTCGGACAGGTACTGACTGACAGCGAGGCCGAAGACGAGCAAAACAACACATCTGGAGCCAAAAAGAAGAACAAGCTCAAGTCTTTATTTGTACCCAAGTCTGGTTTGCAACGTAACATGTCGCAGTCCATGTCCACCCTCCCCACGCTGCCTGAAAAAGACTCAGCCATCAGTCTGAGCAGATCATCTGGCCTCAACGTAGAGTCTCCTGAAGGTAACATTTACAGCTTTATAGATGTGTGATTTCAGATTTTTCTTGTGGCTCAAACAGAAGACAGTGTGCTAGAAATAGCAATGTTATGAGTTCCAGTCAATGCATTATCTATTAAATTTGTGTCTGTCTCACTCTGAAAGCATTGGCCAAATGCAGAATGTGATGTAAATAATAATGTTGTATCAATATTAGTGAGACCAGCAAGATAAATTCTAGACATCTCCACTATCATATATACACTACCTGACAAAAGTCTTGTCGCCTATCCAAGTTTTAGGAACAACAGATAATAAGTTGACTTCTAGTTGATCATTTGGTATCAGAAGTGGCTTATATAAAAGGTAAAGGCCTCTAGATGGCGCTTATTTGACCAAAATAAAATATGATCATGCCTTGATTTTTAATGATTTCATTAGGACAGTAAAGTCTGACTCTGCTTAGACAAAAGTCTTGTCACTGAACAGAAATAGTGTCCAGTATAGAAGATAAAGTCCTGCTGCAGTGGAGACAGAATGAATATTGTGTCTGACCCCATCATGAGCTTGGAGGACTGCATCCATACATCTCTGCTTATTAATAAAGTCATCTGAAATGGCAAAGAAAGCATTATTGCAGGACTCCCAGAGTTCATCAAGATTCTTTGGATTCATCTTCAATGCTTCTGCTTCATTTTACCCCAGACATGCTCAATAATGTTCATGTCTGGTGACTGGGCTGGCCAATCGTGAAGCACCTTGACCTTCTGTGCTTTGAAGATCTTTGATGTGGAGGCTGAAGTATGAGGAGGAGCGCTATCCTGCTGAAGAATCCTGTAGGGCTGGGAGATATGGGCAAAATAACATATCCCGGTATTTTTAGGAGAAATGACAGTATACAATATATATCCTGTATTTTCCCATAAATAGTTACTTGAGAGTTAAAGCCTTTATTAAAACTTTATTAAACAATTTTTGAGCCAAATATTATTCAAACACAGGGGTTTCCCTCCCTGTTTACAAATAAACAACTGCACACAAATGACAGCTGCACAAAATCTTTGATAAATAAAATACAGTACAGGGTTTTCTTTTTCCTGCTTAAAACTATTGTGTATAAAAATGTATTGTGCACAATTATTCAACTGTGCACATATCAAAGATATCTAAAGAGAAGTCTTTCACTCCGTGTAAAAAATCCTACACTTTTTCTTTTGTTTTGACTAAACTTGTTTCACTAAATATTAAATTAGGAGATGAAAACGAATAGACTGTAGACATGAGAAGTAACAAAATAGTTTCAGAGTGCTGTGATGAAATGCTGGTTAAGCATAAAGATGTAAACAGTCATTATAACAGAGCAGAATGCAGAGCTAAATTTGTTAGAACATAAATGTAAAGAAGAGACCATCGTGTAATAAATCCTTAACTTATAATCAGTGAATATAAGGTGGTTTCACTTTCAAAATGGGGTATAAAATCCTCCCATTTTGGCGTTTTTAATTCTTTTGAACAGATTCAGGTTCTACTTGTCAATTTGATGAGGCTTCTATGTTCGTTCTTGCTGTCAATTGCTGAAGAAATGATCGATAAAAAGTTTCTGATAAACTACTGTAACAGCTGCAGGCGTGGTGTGACTTGCCTGCACACGAGGGGGAGTCAGATTTGTCCAGATATCGATATGATCAATATTGGATAATACCGCATCGCGTTGGGGAATCGTATCGATATATCCCCAGAACATGATATACCGCCCTGCCCTACTCTCCTGTGGTTTGTAATGTAATGGGCAGCACAAATGTCTTGATACCTCAGGCTGTTGATGTTGCCATCCACTCCGCAGATACCTTGCATGCCCCCATACTGAATGTAACCCCAAACCATGATTTTTCCTTCACCAAACTTGACTGATTTCTGAGTGAATCTTGTGAGGTTTCCTGCAGTATTTGTGATGATTGGGATGTAGTTCAACAAATGATTCATCAGAAAAATCCACCTTCTGCCACTCTTTCAACTGGTAGTCAAGTTATTATTTGTTGCTCTTTCAACTGGGATCGACGACAATACTTTTGTCAGGTAGTGTACATGTTGTGGTACCTGGTAAGACAAGGTGAGGATATTAGAATCCAACTGGAAAACACAACAGCTGTTAGGGTAATACTGGATACTGAAATTTTGTTGTGTTGTTCTGTTTTGTTTTTCTGTGTTTTGTATAAAAGCTTAAATGTAATGGAGCAAATAAACAAGGGGCAGGTGAACATAATAAGTTACCATGGTAACACATAAGTAGCAAACCACAGGATAAGCAAGGCACAATTAGTATTGCTCTTAATTACAATACTAAACAATTGCTATATGTCTAATATGCCGTGGAAGTTTGTTTCTACTAAATTTCAGTAGTTTAAAGGTCCCATGAAATTAAAATAAAGTTTTTTGTTTTAGATCATAGTATCTGTATTGTTAGTTTTTAGGTTATCCGTAAGCTAGTGTGCTCCAAAACAGTGACAAAATTTGTATTGATTTTATCATTTTTCATCTTTTGTAGAATTTTTCATTACTGTGTTGTGGCTGGAAGGGCATATGCTGGAATAGTTAAAGGTTCATTCCACTGTGGCGACGCCTGATAAATAAGGGACTAAGCCAAAGGAGAATGAATGAATGAATTTGTAGAATTACTATTGGCTGTTTTTAAAAAAAGGGAAGGAGCTACACTGTCCCACCCTCTTTTTATGTTTTGGTTAAGATTACATCATACATCGAATAAAAATGCACATTTTTAAGAACTTCAATAGGGCTTGGCCAATAAGAGATTTATTTATTTCATATTGAATCGCGATAAAATTCATGTCGATAACAATAAGCTCTGGACTCTTTGTACTCTATAGCAGGGCTGCCCAAACTTTTTTTTTTAAGAAGGACCAAAAACTAAACTTGATTGAGAGTGATGGGCCGATGGTAAATAAACTATATGCTGTGAAGTTGTCAATGTAATTTCCTAATTTGTTATTATAATTTATTTTATAATTTTATTTATACTATAATTTATTATATTTAAAATACTTTTAATTATAATAGTAATTAGAATTTTTTTGTCAATTTTATAATGAACACCTTACAATAAAAAAGCATGAACAATCCCATTTATAACACTAGAAAAATACACTTTTCCTTGATTCGTTTGCTGATGTCTTCTGTAATGTCCGCTATTCATCGTGACTGAATTTATTTATTTATTTATTTATTTTTTATCTGATTCAATTACAAGATTTAGTTGAAACGTTTAATTGACGTTAGCTTTTTTGTAGCTCAACAGTTAAAAAACAAAAGTTATGTTAAATTAAAAATGACAATTTATATTAAAGGCGTACGCCCCAAAATTCCCCATTATTTTTCCTCTCTTCTTAAATGACATGAACAGCCAAATCAAAGGTTACACAGGCTCTAGTTTGGGCATCTCTGGTCTATATTGATCTAAGAGCCAATGACACACAGCAGAAATGTGCAACAATGGGAATCCAAAAGTGTGTTAATATTAGAGATATACCGAATTTTCGGCCACCAAAAATTTATCGGCTGAATACGTTATGTTATCTAATGGACTGTCTAATTTTTGTGGCTTCAGTCGTTGGCATACTCTTAAATCTGGAAACAATAACAACTTATATCAAAATATACATTATCGTTATACAGAAAATGATTATTGAGTTTCAGTTGTGCTATATTGCCCAACTGTACTTCACAGGACCTTTAATGCTGAACTCATAAATTCACTCTACTTTAATTTTGTTTCAAAGGCAAAAAGAAATTTAAGTTCCTAAAGCACAAGCGCACCGGAAGCTCCGACAGTAAGGTTTCCCAGGCCTCTCTTGGATTACCGCAGCCTAACGTGTGTATTAACGGCAGTCACGTGTACACTGAAGAGCCAGAGACCAGAGGATCCAGAGCCGGTTCAACCTTCAGTCTGAACAGCTCAGGACATGGGTCAATGGAGGACCTGCGCAGAGGTCACGACAGAAAAACCTCCAACACGTCTGTGGACTCGCTTAAAACCTCTGAGCTGCACACCCAAGAGAAAACAGTGGAGGACATGCACAGGAGACAAGAAGAACAGAGGAAGCAGGAAGAGGAAGTTAGGAAGAGACTGGAGGAAGAAGAGAGGATGGAACGGTTGGAGAGGGAGGAAGAGATGAGGAAGCTGGAGAAACAAGAAGAGGAGAGGAAAAGGATTGCGAGAGAGGAGGAAAAGAAACGAGAGGAAGAGAAGAGGAAGAAGCTAGAGGAAGAGGAAGTGGAGAGGAAAAGGATTGCGAGAGAGGAGGAAAGAAAGAGGATGGAGAGGGAAGAGGAAAAGAAACGAGAGGAAGAGAAGAGGAAGAAGCTAGAGGAAGAGGAGAGGAAAAGAGTTGCGAGAGAGGAGGAAAGAAAGAGGGAAGAGGAAAAGAGACGAGAGGAAGAGAAGAGGAAGAAGCTAGAGGAAGAGGAAGTGGAGAGGAAAAGGGTTGCGAGAGAGGAGGAAAGAAAGAGGGAAGAGGAAAAGAGACGAGAGGAAGAGAAGAGGAAGAAGCTAGAGGAAGAGGAAGTGGAGAGGAAAAGGGTTGCGAGAGAGGAGGAAAGAAAGAGGGAAGAGGAAAAGAGACGAGAGGAAGAGAAGAGGAAGAAGCTAGAGGAAGAGGAAGTGGAGAGGAAAAGGGTTGCGAGAGAGGAGGAAAGAAAGAGGGAAGAGGAGAGGAAACGAGAGGAAGAGAGAAAAAGGATTGCAATGGAGGAGGAAGGAAGAAGAATGGAGAGGGAACAGGAAGAGAAGAGGAAGCTAGTGAAACTGGAAGAGGAAAAGAGAAGGGTTGAGGAAGAACGGATGAGGATTGAGCAGGAACAAAAGATCAGAGGGAGGAAGGAAGAGGAAATGAGAAAGGCAGAGGAGGAGAAAAGGAAGAAGATGGAGGAAAAGGAAAAGGCCAGGGAGGAGGAAGAGAAACAGAGGAGAATGGAGGAAGAGGAGAATGAAAGGCTGAGGAAAGAAGACGAGATGATAAAGCGCATAAAGGAAGAGGAAAGGCTGAGGAAGGAGGAAGAAGAGGAGACGAGGAGAAAGGAAGAAGAAAGAAGGATGAACAAAGAGAAAGAGAGGAATGAAAAAGAAAGGATGGAGCTTGAGAAAAAGAAAATGGAAGAAAGGATGAGAGAGGAGCAGGCGAGGAAAAGTGCTGAGGAAGAGGAGAAGAGGAAAGAGAAAGCAGAGCGAGAGAGAATCAGACAAGAGAAAGAAGAAGTGGAGAGACTGAGGAAAGAGAAAGAACAACGGCCTGAGGTGAAACTTTTATTGTTGTGATTAATTGCTGAAGCTTTCATCACGGTATCATACAATTGCTATTATCATGATATTGACCTAAGCTGCGAAAAAGGTTAGTTATAAGCAAAATCTGCTGACATTTTTTGCTATTTCTGCGCAGAATTTTGGACTGAATACTAAAAAATAACACCTTTTATGTAATTTTTACAATGCGAATCCAGTTAGATCCACTTATTTGGTAAACAATCAAGTCTCTTATACAATAATATATCTACTAGAAGACTAAAAAGTTACTAAAAATAATATTCAAATACAGTATTACTTTACAAACTGTATTGTAAACAAATCATATGAAAAACGGTACAAAAGCACGCACATCCCTCTTAACTGGGTGCTCAGCCAAAAAACGCAAAAGGTGTAAATTAAATATTCGTTAAAGGCGGCAACACCAAAGCTCCAAAAATATATATTTATTAAATGAAAAAAGCTGACACAAAGCGTGTAACGTTTCGAGCCACACGGCTCTTCATCAAATATATATAACACAATATAAAAGTTTCATTATTTATACGCAGTATTTTGAAGCACCCATGATTTCAGTATTGTGCATGTTCATTATCACCAAGTATTGAGTTATTGAATGTTGGCATATGTCTAGGTGAAAACCACGAGTGCTCGAATGAACAGCAGTCAAAAAGCCCCTGTCGAGATGAACTCCACCAATCCCTTTGAAGACTCGCTGTCAATGGACGAAAGCTCCTCCAATCCCGATCAGTCCAATGTCGGCCGCTTAACTAAAGTCTCTGCAGTCAAGCCAAGGTTGGTGTCTCATTTGAGCATTTCATTTGCATTATTGTGGTGTTATTAATGAAATATAAACAGATTTTTGATGTAAACCATCAGTAAAAGCATACTTATATTATATGTTTTCCCAACTACACACGGCAACGGCTGGATACTAAACAAGTACCAGATACCAGTACTTATAGTGACTTAGGAATGGTCTGATTGGTAAACCATGTGTTGGCTAATGTGGGACCAGCCGTGGTCAATCATAAGGACGTGATCCTCTCCAAATTAGTTTATAAACAAACTTCACTTCGTTGTTATATATGTAACTTAGTACCCACTGGAAGCACTTCTTTTTCTGCAGATTTTGTGGCTTTTACAGACTCAAACTCAACTTCTTTACAGCTTGCTGAAATTCGACGTACTTCATAACTCATCTACTCTAACATTTCACATCAATAATTCTCCATACGTCTCCTTTTTAAAGCAGTTGTGCAGGAAGGCAGATCCATGACCTGTGATCACAGCTTGAGTATGAAAGACATGGATGTGTGTGTGGCAGTGTTTCTGTAGTCTGCTTAGGCTTGCTCCATGTCACTGTGATAGAGTTCATAACACCACACTGTCATCATTAACAACATCCTGGAGGAGCATTAGCCACCATTATGAAATATGCAGTAGTGTCTGTCTGTCTCTATGTCTCTCTGTGCTTGTGTGTGTCTGTGTGTGTCTGTGTGTGTCTGAGTATGCGTGTTTGTATATATCTGTGTGTCTGTATGTGTGTGGGTATGTGTGTCTGTCTTTGCGTCAAATGTGTGTGTGTCTGTTTATATATATATATATATATATATATATATATATATATATATATATATATATATATATATATATATATATATATATATATATATAATATGTATATATGTAATATGTATATGAGCAATTCCGTGCAAATGTCAACCTTGCCATGAAAAAAATTTAGCTTTTACCAAAATACGGAAACCATTTCTGGGTTTTTTGTGTAAGCAAGTATTTTACAGTACTTTAAAAATACTCAAAAATGCATCTGTCAATGTTTTCAAACTATTCTATTTGATTTACCAAAGTCACACAAATGGTAATTTCACATGCGTCACATCCATAACAGAGAGATGTCACATCCATAACGACACTTTTTTCCTCAGAAATGTGAAAATATTATATAAAATAAAACCAAGCATTTTTGTTTTATAGAGAGCCGACTCTAATCCTTTTGATTAGCATTATTTATTTTGGGTTGTGCAGTTTAATTCACATAATTTCTACAAAGTGTGTTGTATACTGTAAACTCGCAGACTTTTTTTGTCACATCCATAACGCATGCTTATTTTCCTCATTTAAAGTACAAAACACGTTTACAGATTGATATTTTTCTGCTCCCATAACTCTGTGGCTAGTTGCTCTAGAAAATATAATTAAATTTTTCAATATAATGTTAACATATACTTTCTCTGTCAATTTATGTGTTGAGTTTTTACTGCAAATGTCACATCCACAACACTGGAATTGCTCATATACGTGTGTGTGTATGTATATACACTCACCGGCCACTTTATTAGGTACACCTTACTAGTACCGGGTTGGACCCCCTTTTGCCTTCAGAACTGCCTTAATCCTTCATGGCAATAATTCAAGAAGCTACTGGAAGTATTCCTCAGAGATTTTACTCCATATTGACATGATAGCATCACACAGTTGCTGCAGATTTGTCGGCTGCACATCCATGATGCGAATCTCCTGTTCCACCACATCACAAAGGTGCTCTATTGGATTGAGATCTGGTTACTGTGGAGGCCATTTGAGTACAGTGAACTCATTGTCATGTTCAAGAAACCAGCCTGAGATGATTCCTACTTTATGACATGGTGTGTTATCCTGCTGGAAGTAGCCATCAGAAGATTGTACACTGTGGTCATAAAGGGATGGACGTGGTCAGCAACAATGCTCAGGTAAGCTGTGGCGTTGACACGATGCTCAATTTGTGCTAAAGGACCCATAGTGTGCCAAAAAAATATCCCCCACACCATTACACCACCACCAGCAGCCTAAACCGTTGATACAAGACAGGATGGATCCATGCTTTCATGCTGTTGACGCCAAATTCTGACCCGACCATCTGAATGTGGCAGCAAAAATCAAGACTCATCAGAGAAGGCAACGTTATTGTCCAGTTTTGGTGAGCCTGTGTAAATTGTAGCCTCAGTTTCCTGTTCTTAGCTGACAGGAGTGACCCTAGTGTGCTCTTCTGCTGCTGTAGCCCATCCGCCTCAAGGTTGGACTGTTGTGTGTTCAGAGATGCTCTTCTGCAGTCCTCGGTTGTCAGGCCATTCTCCTTCTGACCTCTGGCATCAACAAGGCATTTGCGCCCACAGAACTGCCGCTCACTGGATATTTTTTTTTATCTTTCAGACCATTTTCTGTAAACTCTAGTGATGGTTGTGTGTGAAAATCCCAGTAGATCAGCAGTTTCTGAAATACTCAGACCAGCCTGTCTGGCACCAACAACCATGCGACATGTAAAGTCACTTAAATCACCTTTCTTCCCCATTCTGATGCTTGCTTTGAACTGCAGCAGATCGTCTTGACCATGTCTACATGCCTAAATGCATTGGGTCACTGCCATGTGAAGGTGTACCTAATAAAGTGGCCGGTTAGTGTACATTGGCTTAGTCCCTTATTTATCAGGGGTCGTCACAGCAGACTGAACCGCAAACTACGTGTGTGTGTGTGTGTGTGTGTGTGTGTGTGTGTGTGTGTTGTTATGAGAGCACGTCTGTACTTGTACAAAATATGTCTGGCATTAGATTCAATCTGTTTGAAACTTTTTCAAGGACTCAGATTAAGGAAAATCCCTAGAAATACTCACATCTACGAAATAACCAACTGTCTGCCTTTCTCCATTCTTTTTTTATTTGTCTGTTGGTTTCTGAAGATGATCCTCACCAAACAAATGAAATAACACTTAACCAAATGAAATGAAATGCCTAAACCTGAATAAACAGTGTCTTTTCCACCATGGTCTTATCTCTTTATTTCAGCTGAGTTGCACTTATGCCGACTGTCATGTGTAAGGTCTCTAACCCTCATTGTGTTAACTCTTGTGTGGCACTTGGTTAAGGGAAGCTGCAGAAATCTGTTTCCCTGCAAATCAGCTGATCAAGCAGTTTCTTTTCTCTGACTCGTGTGTTTTTTGACTTGAGGGCTTTGTTAAACGCTTCAGGAATGTGTAGGAGAGCGAGAGCAGATTCGTGGGTGGCTCTTTAAATCTAAACCAGTTATCTCTTCAAGGCAGCAGGCAAAGTTTCCCTCCAAAAATTTTGCTCAGATGTGATTAAAAATGCTTTAAGGTTTTTCTGAACCGGTTTGGAATGATAGGAGTAAGTGATGGCAGTGTTTTAATTTAGTTAATTTTCCTTCTTGCCATTTACAGTGGGGGAAATCAGTATTGAACATGTCATATTTGTTTCCTGTGAATAATAGTTCTAAAGAGCTGTTGACATGGAGATCTCGTCCATCAAATCTAAGCTTTATTTTGTATTTCCTCATGAATTTGGCTCAGGTGATTGGCTGGGCCATTCTACAGCTTTATTTTCTTTCTCTGAAAGCATTTAAGAGTTTCCTTGGCTGTGTTTTGGATCATTGTCTTGCTGAAATGTCCACCCTGGTTTCATCTTTATCCTCCTGCTAATGTAGATGTTGGAGTGAAGCAGCTGATATTCATTTACAATGATGGAGAGCAGAGGGTTGCTGAAGAAATACTGAGAGATTTCAGCTGCTGTCTGGGCTTTCACTGCTTTTCTACACCTTCCTTTCTTCATGTGTTCAATACTTTGTCCTCAGCTTCATTTCATTTTATTACACATAACTAAGTAGATTTCTTTGCGTATATAGATTTCTTTGGTTGTTACCAATATTTGATGAAAAGTTCATGTCAATGTAACCCTGCCAGTCCTACTGCACCCAACACGCTCCGAGCTGGTATCGAACCGGCGACCTTCCGCATGGGAGTCGGTTGCTCTACCAAGGAGGCTAAAGACCATAACCTATAGCGTCTGTCGCTATGGCTCCTTTAGAGGTCAGAGGAATGAGGTTAACCTGCACAGAACTTATTAGCTGGCCTCCGTTACACTCACCCCCCTAAACCTCACTCCCATCACGGCACCAATGTAACCCCGCCGGTCCTAAGCCACCAAACCCACTCCGAAGTGGTATCGAACATGCGACTTTCCGCATGGGAGTCAGTTGTTCTAACAAGGAGGCTAAAGACGATGGCCTCTAGCTTCTGTCGCTAGAGCACCTTTAGAGGTCAGAGGAGTGAGGCTTACCTGCACAACACTTACTAGCTGGCCTCCGTTACATCAACAGCACCTTTAGAAATGTTTTCTGAGACAAATGGTGATGTGTTCAATACTTATTTCCCCCACAGTATAGAGAACACCATGAAATACTCATTGGAAAAACCTTGAACTGATAGTCATTTCTAGACTTTTGAGCTTTAATGAAAAAAAAAAACATTGCAGTCAATGTCAATTAAGTTACCAATCATGATTCTTAAAGGCATGGTTCACCCAAAAATGAGATTCACTCCCCCTCAATTGGATATAAACCTGTGATTTACTTTTTTTGTTGAATACAAAAGAACATTTTCAAGGAAATCTGAAAACCTGCAGCTATTGACATCCATAGTGGGAAAAACAAACCGGTTTTCAGCTTTCTTCATAATATCTTCCCTTGTGTTCAACAGATAAAAGAAACTCAGATAGGTTTTTAACAAGTGAGGTGTGAGTAAATGATGACAGAAGTTTCATTTTTTGGTTGAACTATCCTTTTAAATGGTTCAGATTTGCTCAGTAGTACCAGGAGGTGTTGATATAATCCGTTAATATAATCAAAGTGGTTTAGATGGTCACTGACCAAAGCAAAGTGGCTTTAATTTGCTTTCCAATGTGTTAAGATATTATTGCGATGTTTGATGGAGTTTAATCTTCCCTTTCATTATCCTGCTCCTTCAGTTCTTCTGTTTCTGGAGTCTTCTTTTCACAAGCGTCTGTGCCAAACTCCAACCCTTTCATAGATGACTCTGAAGATGATGATGGAAATGTCAGTCTTGGAGATGTTACAGAAAGGTCAGAGAAGAAACGACGAGCCCCAATGCCTCCCCAATATAAGAAGCAATTGGAAAAGCCATCTATTTCTGAAGCCACTCAAAGATTTCTATCCCAAGAATCTGAAGCTGGTGGTGACTCTGATTTTTTTAGTTTGCAACAGGACAAACGTCCTGCACCCTTACCACCAGATGGCCCAAAGAATAGACAAGAAGTGAATGAACAGGAGGGTCAATCGACCACACTTTACAGTAGACTCCGGGAAAAAGAAGCAAACAAAGTACAGTCAACTTTGCAAGACATTGATGCAAATACCAGTTCAACGCATCTCAGACAGAATCATCCTGTTAACAGACAAGAAACCAGATCTACTGAAGTCAAAACAGCTAAACACAACAAAGGTCCAGCTCCAAAGCCTTCAATACAGTCAACATCGTGCAAGAATGGGGCATCTGAGCCCAACAAGCAATCGATTAAGAAAGTCTATTTTAAAGACCAAGCTGGATCCTCAATCTCTTTTACTGATCAACTTGAGGAATCTTCTAACCATTTGACTAAAGATCTTCTTGTATCTGAGCAGTCTTCATCCAAAACTGAATCTGTGCACTCTGAAGACCTTTCCCTAATAGAAAGTAGACAAACAAGTTCGCCGGAAGAGTCTGAACTTGACCATTTTGGAGAAAACACTCCTTCAAAAAAGTCTCATCTTCAAAATATGGAAAGTTCCCAATCTGATGTCTCCAAAAAGAAAAGTCGGGCTCCAATGCCTCCTGCTAAATCTGAAGCAATTGTCAGCCAGAAGACACCAATCCAACAACAAGATGCTACTAGTCAACCCAACAGATCAAGACAAGCTCAAAATGAACAGTTAGCTTTTAATGGAAGCATGCAAGCTCCATCTGGTTCCACATCCAATACAATGCAAACTCTCAAGACAAAAGAAGTTCAGATGAAGGCCGAAGAGGTTTCTTTAAGGTCGGACGCTGGTCTCAGGACTCTGCCACAGGCCAGGGTGTCACCGATTGATGTTCAGGCCATCCTTTTGCAGAATAACGGAGGTGAAAACAGAAGAACAGGTGATCCTACCCTTAAACCCTGCAGGTGAGGTCATTTGTAGAACTTCTAGAGACTCTTTGAAGTAGCAGCAGAGGTTTTCGGTAGGTTTTCGTTAGCCATCCTCCCGTTAGCCAAGTCTCTTTAAGGCATGTCATTGCACTCTGCGGCCATCTTTGAAACGCTTCTGCGGCAGTATGTTTGAATGGGGAAACATCAAATTCGGTGTTTGCCAAGCTTACGATTAAACTTCAGATTTGGAATCACCAAAAAAATTGAACATCCATTGGCTCTTAAGTTTTGTTTCTAAACGTTTGAATCAAACCGAATTGGCATTTTTTTGAAGGGAACAAGATCACGACACCAACCTCTGTTATGGCCGTTTTACACATTATCATCCTCTGAATGCCTCATTTGATCGCTCTGGTTTTCTAAAGTAAATCCCAATTTGGTCTTGATGGCAAATTTCCTACCAAAATGACAACAACCTCTTTGTTTACAAGTTTAGGTGTTCATGTAGTTGTTTTCATGTGATATGCATTTGATAAGACAGACTGTACCTTGTGTTCATTTCGTACTAATTACAAAACCAGAGAACATTTGTTTTCAAATGTAGTTGGTGCATTTAAAAGTAGAGATTTCAAGCTTTATGTGGATATGTTTCTTATGTCTGTCGCAAGTATTTACTGAGATTCCAGTGCATTTGCTGACTCCAGAGGGTTCAGAAACTGTCATAAAAACACATGCCTGGCCCTCCCCTATAGAATTCTCAGTCTATATTGATCGATAATTGGCTCTTGTACTAGTAGGCAGGGCTTCATTCGCCATATTGACCATGACACTTTTCCCCATTCAAACTGATACGAGTGACACGTCTTGTGTATTCTATAGTCTTTGCCATCCTGTGGTAGTTCTTATGAATTTAAAGATTGTTTGATGCATAATTGAGTTTACAGAGTATGTGTGTTTTGACCTGTGATTATTTCTTAAATAGTAGTAATAAGTATTGTTTTTTTCTCAGGAATTGTACTTGAGTAGTTTTAAAAATGTGTGCTTTTACCTGTTTGTTTTCAGAGATGGATCAGTACTTTTTTCTCGGTGTTATTTTTCTGCACTTCAGTGTTTAATTTTTCTTGTCTACAGTAGTTGGTTGAGCAAAATAATCAGTGCTGTGATTCCCGTTAAATAAAATCCCATACCTGTTAACCCTCCCATTTTTCCCAGCATTCTCCAGCATTTTACAATTCCAACCCGCTATCATCCCATAAAGGTATTTTTCTGTATTTCTCCCGTATTTTTAATCTTTCTATGAAGGGTGGCAATAAACATTGCAGATCCTCCCTGTACGCAACCCATTCTGCCAAACCATCAGGGGACACCCTATCTTTTAAATGTGAATCTGTTCTGTGCTTTAATTTTTTTAGGCATGAACACACTTTGAAATAATTATAAAAACAGCAGTGTTGTCTTTCTTTCCAATTACAGGCGCCATTGCCCCTCCTGCAATCCTTAAAACAGTCAGTTCATGTAGCAGTCCGGGGGCACTCTGGATTTTGGGTGCGCGTTTGAACATATATTAATAATAATAATAGTAATAATAATATCTAAACATGTTGATCTTGGTGGGTTTTCTTTTAAACATGGCAAATTATTTTCTTGAATGAGCATAAAAAGTTAAGAAAGATCGACTTTCCTGACGTTTTATGCTCATTTAAGACAAAAATTGTTATGTTTAAAAGAAAACCCACCAAGATCAACATGTTTAGATATTATTATTATTATAATGTACGTTCAAACACGCACCCCATGCCCAGTGTCCACTTTCCTTATAGATGTGTGCATTTTTAAAGGCACACCTCTGTTATTTAATGTAATCAAACTAAAAGTCTAAATGAGAGACTCAATTCCTTATTTTCACATCCCAATGTTGACAGGTATGTAATTCCCCTTAGAAAAATCACATCCAGCAAACCAACCTAAAGACAAGGACGCTTTATAAATGCAGCAAACATGTACAGTGTGAAGCATTTAAAGATGAGAAATCGTTACACACAATATGAAACATTGATCTGTTCTCCACATAAAAGTATTTTTTTAATTAATATTAAATTGTTATAATGGGAGACTATAACGGTGGCTCAGTGCTTAGTAATGACCCGAGAGATTGTTTGGACTGGATGTCACTGATGATGAAGGATGCCTACTGTATGAAATCATCAAATGCTCCTAAATTATCACTAAATGCACTACAGAATGTTACGTTTTCAAACAAATGCACAAACTGCATGTATCAGTGCTGCAGGAGCTTGGTTTGCAGCGCCTCCTGCTGGACACTCAAAATGAATGCTGTTCAAAATAGATTATTTTGTGTTGACTGATTGCAGGTTTGATTACTCATCAAACATTTGCTTGCTGTTTTAAAATGTCGTTTAAAGTGACCACTATTTTAAAATGCAATCGTTGTTTTCCAAAACGTTGGAGTATGTTGTCATCAGTAAACCACACAGGCTTATGCAAACAGAATTTGCTCTATTATATTCTGATTACGTACTGTGGCTTTTCTAAAAATAAAGATGTTTTGCATTCGTTTAAACCTTTCAGAGTTTCAGATCAAATGCATAGGGTGTTTAATTTCAGTTTTTGACCTCCTTTTACATTACCTCTAAAAGGGTTACCTAATAATTGAGCACCACAGATATGAGACTCTTTCATCTTTTGGAAATAAAGACTTCACGTTTCCACAGTTTTCCTCCACAGTTCTTTAAAGTGAAAACTACTCAACACATGATCCTCACTCCTCACCTTAGAACTGTATTTAAATAATGCAGAAATTCTTGGATTCGCCTGCTTTGTATTCCACTCCTTCAGTTTCAGGTGTGCCTGTAAAACTCACAGATCTTTTTTTCTTGTCAGGCCGCATGCTGTAAAACCACTGAACGCCACTGACAAGCAGACAGAGACCCAAGACGCTTGCAGATCTGGTCAAATTACTGGTGACACGCAAGTCAAGACGAAGGTGATGTGAGATTATTATTTTTCCTCCTCGTTTCCCCTCTATTATTATTCCGTAATGCATTTAATAAAAATATGTCTGCTCAAAGAGAGAGTTCACTCAGAAATGGATGTTTGGGGTTAATTTACTCACCCTCGCCATTAAAAATGGAGGCGATTTTTTTTTTTTTTTTTTTTTTTTTTTTTTTTTTTTTTTTTTTTTTTTTTTCCATCAGTAGAACGTTGATGGAGTTTGAAACTGTGGATCTTGGCGATTCATAAAATTCTATTAAATGCATTTACTTTGTGGGTAAAACATCATAAGTCATTATTCTGATGATACATACACTGTTTTGGTGTTAACTTTTGTAAAGTTCATTTTGTTGCACTGACCAAATATTTCTCTTCATTAGATATTACATATCATCAGGAGCCACAGTTCATTTTGTTTTGCTTTTTAGGTTTTTATGATCGCCGATAAATGTTCAATTGTATTTAATGAATCGCAGAGAGCCACAAATAGATTTGATTGATTTTTCAGCCAAAAATGGATACAGTTTTACTGAAGAAAAGGACATAAACTTGTAGCTTAATTTTAAGGGGATCATATCTGGTGTATATATACACAGTTGAAGTCAGAATTAATAGCCCCCCTGTTTATTTTTCCCCAATTTCTGTTTAACGAAGAGAAGATTTCTTCAACACATTTCTACACATTATAGTTTTAATAATAATATAAAATGATAAAATTAAATAATATAGCTTAAAGGGGCCAATAATTTTAACCTTAATATTGTATATATTCTCAAATCTGATTGGCTGATAGCCATGCGATATATTTTTGTATAAGTCAAAAATCATGCGCTGTCATCATGGCAAGGATAAAAGAAATCAGAGGAATTAGAAATGAGTTTTTAAAAGTATAATGCTTTGAAAAGTGTTGCAAAAAATATATTTGTTAAACAGAAATCTGGAAAAAAATATATAGAGGGGGCTAATACTTCAGAAGGGCTAATAATTCTGACTTCAGCTGTATATTAGAGTGTTGATCTGTACGTTTCAGGTCCCAGAGGTTAAAGGGACGGGCCCGTACTCTCAGCTAACCAATGACGAACTCATCAAGCTCCTGGAGAAGCAGAAAGAGCAGCTCTCTCTGAAGGACTGTAAGATCGTGGAGCTTGAGCAGTATATCGACAATCTGCTGGTGCGCGTCATGGAGGAGAATCCAAGCATCTTAATGTCCTTGTGCTTGAAGAAGTCGGCTTGAGGGACGGTGGTTTAGTATATAATGTGCAATGCGGGATGGGTAACATGTATAAGGTTGTTTGTAAATCACCAAGAGACCTTTCACTAAAGCGACAGACACTACTGAGCTGAAGATTTAACTCTGATTTATGGTGTCTAAATGGTTATGATATGGTTTGGCTGCCTTAGATTCGTCTAATCGTGACAGATGCAGTTTTTCTACATGTTAAAATAAATGGTAACACTTTATAATCATGGTTTATTAGTTAATGTGTTTACTGATATGACCAAACAATGAGTTAGATGTTTATTATGGTATTTATTCATCTTAACACTGATCTAAAATAAATTCATGTTAGGTATTATGTCAAAAAGCGTGACTTTAGATGCTAATAATGCATTAGTAAATGCTATTAAAGGCTTTAATAGATTATTCATACTTAATTTTAGTAAATACATTAACTAATGGACCATTATTTTAAAGCGTTACCAAATAAATCATATTATTTGTCGTGTTTGTCACTATTTTTAGTCTATTTGAATGGCTAATGTTCAAATGGATTGTTTTATTTCTTAAAGGGATAGTTCACCCCTAAATTATTGCATTATTAAATCAGTTATGATTCATTAATTATTAAAAATTGTATTTAATACAAAATTAAAGTCATCATTAAGCCATCTTTCTCTTGTTTAAGTTTCTTCTGTTAAACGAAAAGGAAGATACTTTGAAGAATGTTTGAAAAACTAAAACAGCCATTGACTATTATAGTATTTGTGTTCATACTATCGATGCTGTTGTTTTTAAACATTCTTAAAATATCTTCTTTTGTGTACAACAAAATTTAATGCTTAGAATAACTTAAATGCGAATAAATAAGGACAGTTTCATTTTTTGGTGAACTGTCCCTTTAAATACTGTTTAAATATTTTGGTCAGAGCATTTGGAGGACGCAACACACTTCAAGTAAACAAAATAGCACTATAAATATGATATTCTTCATGATATTTTATATGAACTGCAAAGCTCTGTAATGTTTTGTAGATGCATATTGAAGCACTTTACAAGAATCAGTTTGTAAATATTTGGATGTGATCATTTGTATGTTATATATCCTTTGACAGCTTTATTATTATTCTCTGCTTTTGAAATAAAGACGGTCGCAGGTGTGGCCTCGCAAAGAACAGCGTCATGTGTCATTCATTGTGCATGTTTAAGAATGCAGGTTAAGCTTTTAATTAGGTAAAAGGCATTGAGTGAGTGTCAGATGATGTAATGGTCCATTAATAAAGGACTGACTGTCGCCGGACAACACAGTAGGCTGTTTACTTGCAGATTGAGGAAGACTGTAGGAAAGTGAAATATTTGAGTGTTTGCGCTGGGCTTGTTATTTTTAAAAATATATTGTTTTTTGATTACATGTTCTTTGAAAGTGTTTTTAAGTAGTTGCCGGTTCATTCTGCTGTGGTGACACCTGATAAATAAGGGACTAGGCTGAAGGAATATGAGTTACTGAATGTACTCACTGGCCGCTTTATTAGGTACACCTGTACAACTGCTCGTTAACGCAAATTTCTAATCAGCCAATCACATGGCAGCAACTCAGTGCATTTATAATAATTCCTTACATTTATGTAGCACTTTTCTGGACACTCAAAGCGCTTTACACAATGGGGAGAAATCATCCACCAGTGTGCAGCATCCACCTGGATGACGCGACGGCAGCCATTTTGCGCCATACACCAGCTGATTGGTGGAGAGGAGACCAAATGATGAAGCCAATTATGATATGGGGATTGTTAGGAGGCCATGATGGACTGAGGCCAGTGAGCAGATTTGGCCAGGAAGCCGGAGTTAAACCCCTACTCTTTTCGAAGGATATCCTGGGATTATTAATGACCACAGAGAGATGGGACCTCGGTTTAACATCTCATCCGAAAGACGACGCTCACTAAGCAGTATAGCGTCCCCATCACTATACTGGGGCATTAGGACCCACACAAACCGCAGGTTGGGCTCCCTGCAGGTTGGGCAGCAACCTAGCTTTCCCATGTGGTCTTCCATTTAGGCATGTAGACATGGTCAAGACGAACCTTGAGGCTACAGCACACTGCATGCCGTCAGCTAAGAACAGGAAACTGAGGCTACAATTTGAACAGGTTCACCAAAATTCACCAAAAAATAAAAAATAAATAAATAAACATTATGGAAGTCAATGGTTACAGGTTCTGTCTTTCCTCTTCTTCTGTGTTTAACAGAAAAAGGAAAGTCCAACAGGTTTTGAACAAGTTAGTAAATGATGACATAATTTTCAGTTTTGGTTGAACATGTATTAAAATCCCTATAAAGCAAGTCATTGGCCTACAAACATTTCCTTGTTGTCAAACTAGTTGTATCAAAAGGCAATTCAATCATATTAACGTTAAAACAGCTATCATAACGTTAATTATCAATAAGTGTTTTGGATTCTTCATTAAAACGTAAAACGAAACAGGACTATTTCTATTTTTTCTATTATCATTATATTATTATTATTATTATTATTACAGTTAAAACATGATGGAACTTTCACTGATACTCTTGTTTCTACCCGGATCATCAACGCGCACGTCATCAGGAAGCGCGGCGCCGGTGTTCAACTTCAAAATAAACGTAAACATGTCGTTGGAAGAAGAGCAAAGAGAAGTTGTTCATAACAATATCACCGTCTGACGGAGAAAAATTCCGAGCAGCGCCTGAAGAGCAAACACCGCCAGCCAGTAAGTGCGACAGAAAACATTAATGTGTTCTTTCTAAATACTGTAACCTTGTATCGAGTAATAATTGCGACAGGGTTGCTTATGTTAGTCATTTGCTGATTAGTTATAAGCCGCCTGCTAAGTGCTAAATTAATTTATAAAACCGTAATGTTGTGATGTTTATAAACTAATACCACGTAACCAGTAGTAAATTAAGTATTAAATTAATGTTAAAATGATTCAAAGAATTAACGTTAAAGGCTGTCACGAGTTCAACCCCACCGTGTTATTACTTAATTTACCCCGTTTTAATGATTTGTTAGTAGTTTTAAATTACACATGAACCACAACGAAAATACATGGCTATGTACGTGCATTCATTCATTTTCCTTAGGCTTTAACGTTAGTCCCTTTATTCATCAGGGGTCGCCACAGTGGAATGAACCACCAACTTATCCAGCATGTTTTACACAGCGGATGTCCTTCCAGCAGCAACCTAGTGCTGTACTAAAATGCGGCTTTGACGACAATGTCAATGTGAATTTTATTTATATAGCACTATTATACACAACCAAAGGTTAACCAATGTACTGAACAATACAAATCACTAAGAACAAGTATAAAATATAGCTAAAACAGACAATTCTCACTAATAGTTATAGCTTAATCAATTCTCACTGATAAAATGCCAAATCAAAAAGGTAAGTTTTCAACCTAGATTTAAAAACAGACAGAGATATCTTTGCTGGATCACAATGTGTATATACAAAGCACCATCATTTATGGAATGATTATTGCTAAGAGTGACATCCTAAAACTATGGAAATCAGATTCTGTTCCTTAATTTAAGACATGGTTAACTTACCTCACTCAAATATTGCACATGGAAAGAGTCCGATATGGAGTTATTGATAATCTTGCTAAGTTTTATAATATATGGAAACCATTTCTTGATCACCTGGACCAATATAATGCGGATTCTGTACAGCAGTGTAATGCTTAATATGCTCACTACCCCTATTGACCGTCTTTTTGTATTTTCATCGAAACTGTTTATATGGCCTAATTGTTTTTTTAATAATAACTTAATTTTCTTTTATTTATTTTTTTCTTTTATCTACTTTTCTTTATTTTAATTATCATTACCATTACTTCTCTTTGTATTATCATGCTTATTTCTTTATTTTTATTATTGTTGTATTGTTTGGTAATTATTGAAAATGTAAAACTAATAAAAACACTTGTTAAAAAAAAATAAAACAGACAGATGATATAGACCTAATGCAAAGGGGCAGAGCATTCCACAAGGTAGGACCAGCTACTGCCAAAGCCCGGTCACCCCTGCATTTCAGCCTTGAGTTTGGGATGTATAATAGTCTCTGGTTAAATGACCGAAGAAACCGACCAGGCTGATGTTCAGTCAACAGGTCTGACAGGTAGAAAGGAGCCAGGCCATTTAGTGATTTAAAACCAGGAGAAGAATTTTAAAAGTGACACGATACACTGCAAAAAATGCTTTTCTTACTTAGATTTTTTGTCTTGTTTCTAGTCCAAATATCTGAAAATTCCTAAACCAAGAAGAATTTTCTAGACAAGCAAAACATATTGTCTTGTTTCGAGAAATAATATGCCAATAATAAGTGAGTTTTACCTTAAAACGAGCAAAATAATCTGCCAATGGGGTAAACAAAATAATCTTACGTCAAAAGAAAAAACAAGATTATTTTGCTTACCCCATTGGCAGATTATTTTGCTTGTTTTAAGGAACAACTCACTTATTATTGGCATATTATTTCTCAAACGAGACAATATGTTTTGCTTGTCTAGAAAATGCCTCTTGATATAAGAAATTTTAGATATTTAGACTAGAAACAAGACAAAAAATCTAAGCAAGAAAAGCATTTTTTGCAGTGTAGTGCACAGGCAGCCAGTGCAAAGAGTGTAAAACTGGTGTGATGTGGTCATATTTTTTGGTACCGGTTAAAAGCCTTGCAGCAGCATTTTGAACTAACTGTAGGCGGGATAGAGATGTCTGACTGATCCCAAAATATAGCGAATTACAGTAGTCCAATCTAGAAGTAATGAAAGCATTAATTTATTTTTTCAAAAAAATTTCTAGATAAAATAGGTTTGGCTGTTTTTAAAAGTCGAAGCTGAAAAAAGCAAGATTTGACCACTGCGTTAATCTGTTTATCAAATCTCAAGCCATCATCAAAGATGACACCCAGATTTTTTACACAATGCTTCACAGAAAAACCAGGGGTTCTCAAACTTTTCAGCCCGCAACTACTAAAATAACAACACTATTGACTCGCGATCCCCTCTATGCTCGTAGGTGGTTATAAGCATACAAATATTGCACACAATGTTGCACACACAGTCATATGAATTTTACAAACAAGCTTATTGACTACACAAAGTACAACAGTCTATTTTTTATAATTATTATTCAGTTGTTTATTTAATATTAATCTCACTTAATAAGAATGGTAAGCACAATGTTTATAGCACAAGGCTTATTTTGGTTTAATTTTGGAGACTTAGACCCCGTTTACACTAATGCGTTTTAGTTTGAAAACGCATAAGTTTTGCTACGGTTACGCCATCCGTCCACACTACACTGGAGTTCTCGAGCGCCGAAAACAGAGCGTTTCGAAAACGCTGGAGAGGCCGTTTTCATTCTGAAACGCTGCTGCTCCGTCTCAGTGTGGATGATGGAAAACGGAGACGGGGCTGCAGACATTCGCCTTTCTGATTGGGGCTTTTCCTCAATATTAAGTAGCCTACACACACCGTTCAGTCCTGCATCCTCTCCTTGTAAGTTCAGACTTCGCAAGTTTGATCAAGGCTGCAGTCTCTTCTTCTCAGTTTGATATGGAAAAGCAGACTATACCGAGTAAATCTTCAAATTGAACAGTGTACATTATAACTTCATTCACATCACCCTGGCTACGTTGTTTCACTTTCTCAACAATAAAATGTAAACATGATATAAGGAACTGCCTATTTTCATTTTAATATTAGCAACTTAACAGACAGCAGAAATGTTGAGGCGCCGTGCCGCATATATGAGCGTCATCTTCAATGTGTGGATTTTTATAACAAAATGGAGCCGATAACAACTGCCTCCTTTTAATTCCAGTGAAAATACGAAACACAGCCTCTCTTTTGCTGAATATCAGTTTTAATAATCGATAATGGCCATTATAAAAGTATAACATACAATAAGTTTATACATTATAGGAAATAAAGGCAAGCGATCAGTCAATATACAGAATGTGTGTGCTTACATTAATCATTAACTTAACTTTGCGCTCAGCCAAAACACGTTAGCCTACCTGAGAACAAGTAATAGATTCCAATGACCAAAGTCAGGGATAATGTCGTTAGATACAAACAACAAGATGAATGAAATATCCCGTTTAATAAATATAGTGAGATTAGAT